ATCACAAGGGGCATTACCAAGGAGTAACTCGAGGGTTTCATCACTGGCTACTTGCTGTGGACCAAGGTTGGTTTAGGCTACGCTGATGTGATTCTCTATCTTTATGTTCATTAGGGTTCCCAGTACTTGATAATGATCAACTTAGTTAGTCATTTCTGCCTCTTATCGTTGGGGATTGTAGGCTTCTACTTAACATCTTAAGCTCTTGTTGGGGTTTATCTGAAGTTCCAAGTAACTGAGCAGCATTAGATGATATGATATGTAAATGTGGAACCTCATGTTTTGATTGCAGATTTGTGGAGCTCTTATGGCAACTTTCACTGCATGCATTAAGAGAAGTCCATAGGCGGACATTTCCTGCTGATGTGGCATCCAATCCTCTGCCTTCTTCTCTAACAGACGTATCCTTCTCACACGCAGCTACTTTACTTCCTGTTACCAAGGTAGTATTCATACTATTTCCCTTCAAGTTTTTGTGTTATACTTACTCTGGTCTTGTAAACCTTTTTCACTAATGCACGGAATGTCATACAAATGCTTGTGTATATGTTTGCAGGCCCGGATAGTGCTTGAGCGTCGTCGATTTCTTAAAGATGCAGAAACTGCGGTACAAAGGCAGGCGATGTGGTCTAATTTAGCCCATGAGATGACTGCAGAGTTCCGTGGTCTCTGTGCTGAAGAGGTAAAACAATTTGTGTTCTTTTTTTGGGGAGAGGAACTGAATTGTTTTGTCTGATTGTATTGACACTTTTATTGATGCATTTCATTTCCTGTACGTTGGCATCAGGCTTACCTGCAACAGGAACTAGAAAAACTTAACGATTTAAGAAACAAAGTAAAGCAGGAGGGAGATGTGTGGGACGACCTTGTGTCTAGCTCTAGTCAGAATTCTCATCTAGTATCAAAGTCCACTCGGTTATGGGATTCTATAATGGCTCGTAAAGGTAAGGTTTTATGCTGTTCTTTTAATCTTCTGAGTTAATGCAGAGGAAAAGGTACTCAAATTGTAGAATTATATAGTTAATGGCATTGTTGTTTGTCACGCTATCTTCAGGTCAGCATGAAGTTCTCGCGTCAGGTCCCATTGAAGATTTGATAGCTCACAGGGAGCATAGGTATCTGGCCTCTTGTAAGTCACATGGCCTGAAGTTCACTTACCCATTTACTGACATCTGATTTTCTTTGATTTGTAGATACCGAATTTCAGGATCGGTCCTTCTTGCAGCGATGGATCAGAGTTCTCAAGTTCCTCGTGCAGAATTACTCTCTGCCCATTCAGATGATTCAGCTCTGTCACTTGCAGATGACAAAGAACTAAGTGATGGATCGTACGCAAATATGCATGAGCATTCTCTAGTAGACAGTTTCGAAACAAACTCACAAGCAAGTGACGAAACACTTTCTCGAGTAGATGATAGAGGTGGAAGAATAAACCAGACAGTCGATGTAGCAGAAATCATAAGGCGCTGGACACACGCATTACAGCGTATTCATAAACAGTCTCTCCAGCTGGTATGTCTTATCATATCCCGTTGTGGGGTTTTCACTGAAGTACTTTATACCATTTTGGCTAATTACACGCTGTCCTTAATTGCTTAATTCTCGACACTCTTTTCAGTTTTCTGTGAGGATTCAATACCATGGACTTGTTACTTATTTTTTCATCTGTACATGCTTAGGCTAAAGCAAATGACGGGGATGGTCCAGATATTTTGCGGACTGCAAATGATGGTGGAACAAGTGGACATGTTGAATCACTGGCTGCAACTTTGACTGAACATCAACAACATCTAGCTAGCTTTCAGGTAAATGTGTGCTTGTTTGTTCCCTTAGGTAAAAGTTAGTTGTTTTTTTTTGCCAGCTGTGGAAGTCAAATGCACAACTTAGAAACGTAAGCTGCTTTTGTTTAGGGCCTTGATGAAAAATGTCAAGGCTTTAGTAACTAGACAATCTGTTTTTCTAGCAATCCTGTTTTATTTATAAAAAGCAGTATGTTTGATTGAATATTCCTGGAGTTCCATTGATAACTGTGAAGATTCTGATTCAGATTCTCTTGTGAGCGTATCAAAAGTTCTTAGATCGATGGAGTAGTTACATTTTTAATTACCATGCTGTTTGTAGAATCTCTTCGAGCATGCCCACAAAAAACTTTTATATTTACTGGTTACATCTCGACTATGTTCTTACTGCTGATGGCACACTATATGCAGGTACTCATCAACCAATTAAAGGAAGTTTCTCCAGCCATACAAAAGTCCATATCAGAATGTACAGAAAAAGTTAATAGTCTTCCCCCGACCTTACCGCCAGCTACTAGAAGTAACGGGCAAGCAGCTTCACTTCTACAATCTCAGGGGAGCGGGAGAGTCACGGTAACAGTCTGATACGTTAATTTTTGTTTTCTTCCGATGCATATTTGATAGAGACACTCATTGTACTGCCTTGTGTGATACAGGAAGGTGTATCCAATGATGTTGCTGAGCTGACCTCAGCAATGTCTAATGTTCAGCTCGAGAAAGTCTCAGCTAGTCCAACGTTAAAGCTTCCACAGTTATTTAGCTCCACACCAACTTCTTCCGGTAAAGGTGGAAATGCACAAAAGCGACAGCCAATGGCTTCTCAGGTCAACAAAATGGAAAGCTTGTCTGAGAAGAACTCTACGGACCAACCTCTGTCGAATACTCGACCAGACAACTTGCCCACTGGTGTGTTACTTAATTACATTCTCAATTAAAACGAAACATATATAGCATATGCCAATACCATGTCACACAGACCTTTGTCTAATAACTCTATTTTTTGTTTCAGATACAAACAGTTCTTTTGTACAGAACCTGAAGAAATCTGTAAGGGAAGCTGCTCTGATGATTCCTTCTTCAGTAGGATCATCACGAGATAGTCAATCTGACGAAGGCTCCGAGCATTATTTCGTACCTCTATCAGGAACCGGCTTTTCCCGTTTTCCATCAGAAAACAAAGGCTTTCCTCTCAGAGGCTCGAGGTTACTTACGTCACTGAGCGAGCCTTCGTTTCTTGAACCCAATGCTCCGGATAACCTCGCGCCAAGCAAGTACAGCGATATACCTGACACCTTTGATGACCTAGATTCCTTCAAAGATTACGAAAACGGGAACGGGTTTCTCTCAGTTGTTGGATCAAACAGTGTAGCGTCCGATGCACAACAGTCGTTTTACGACGTTGAAGATCAAGTATTCTCCCCACCGTTACTAATGGACTCGTCCCTATTATCAGATACCTACGAAGACTTGTTAGGTACGTTGATTATCTTTGGTGTTTATAGTCTAATATCTTAAACACGAGAGCTTAATACACAAGCTGGGATCTAATTGACAGATTTTGTTACTCATTTTCACTTTCCTTTTGTAGCTCCTTTATCAGAAACCGAAGCCGCTTTAATGGAGCATTAGGATGAAGAAGCCATGAATCAGACAAAGACGATGACACTTGTGTTTCTTCAACAATTGTTCTTGAGGGAAGTTGAACTGAAGCTTGTGGTCTCTGATCTATGTGGGTCTCTCTCAACACAGGTGTTTCAGTTATTACCAGTTAACAAGGTTTTCTTAATTTATCTTGGATTTGTTGATGAAAAACGACTTTGTTTGTGTGCCACTGTGTGTAAAAGACCTCTAGCTCAGGTAGAAGGATCGCTCTCTAGTATTTGGTTTTCCAAAAATTTACAGATTGATTCGTTGTTTTAACTTTTAGATGTAAAGTAAAGAAAATAGTGAAGAAAAGTTTGATCTGCGATTCTTCTAAAAATATCATTTATATTATTGTAATGTTTTGCTGCAAAAATGTCCTCTGAATTTTTCTTATATAAGTGGCCAGTGTCTGCTTATAAAAATATATATTTTTTTTTAATTTTAGAGCAAAGAAAATGGATCAGAACCGCGTGCTGACACGAATAAATAAATGTATTTAAAAATTTAAAAATTTCCGCTGCCGGGCTTTGAACCCGAATTTCAGTCAATAAGATTGAAATTATCCAGTGTGCTACAGCAGATCCGATTACTGAATGATATACACAATATAATTTATTACTACATAAATGCATTTGAAAATTTAAAAATTTCTACACAAGATTGAAATTAACCAGTGTGCTACAGCGGATCTGATTGCTGTGAGATATACATAATATAATTTATCACTAAATAAATGTATTTATTTTTATTTTTTTAAATTCCACTGCCTGAATTTTGAACCCGGATTTAAATTTAAAAAAGCAAAGTAACCGGTGTGTTAAATATGAATTATTTATTTAGAAGTGTTTTTGAGCAAATACAAACAAATAAATAAAATGAGCTACCTGAGTTAACCTGAACAATGTCTACTCTTCAGCTAGACAAGGTCTCAACTAGTCAGCTAGACCATGTGGTCTACTTTTAGCCCATGAGGTAACTGTAGAGTTCCGTGGTCTCTATGCTAAAGAGCAAGACGTTATGTGACGGATCGTACGTGAAGATGCATGAGCAATCTCTAGGAGAAAGTTTCGAATTCCAACTAACAAGCAAGTGATGCAACACTAGTTCATAATTGATAAGACAAGTATGATTTGGTTTAACACAAGTTTGTTCAAAAATATTTTTTCACGGTTTTAACCATTCAATCAAAACATAGAATCAGCCACGGGATTGCAGACGACGACAATTATAGGTTATATAACTTGCAACCAAAATTATTTCATAAATTTTTTTCTCTTAAAACCTAAATCTTGCAAATGGGAAAAGAATTTCGATTGTGCTGAAAATGAATATAAGTTTTGCATTTTTTGTGGTTTCCTATGGAACGGATTTAAAATATCAAAATCCCAACAAAAATAAACACACGTATCCAACAAAGTTTTATTTCATCAACCAAATAAGAACAACAACGAGTTAAACAAATGAAAGTTTCATAAATATATAATAAAACTCATGAAAACAAATTCATAGAAACTGAAAAAAAAACAAAAAAAAAAGACGACGACGGTAGTGAAGAACTCAATGGTAGAGACCAAGAACAAGAGCCACGGCGGCAAAAGCCAAACCGGTGAACATATTGGTGGCCGAAAAAAGAGTTGAGCTAGATGACGGTCCCGGTGCCGGTGCAGCAGTACCGCTGCGAACGCGACTTGATTGGGCGGAAACGGCGGCGATCGTCGCCAATAAACAGAACAATGCGATCTGAACAAGCATCTTCTTCATCATCATCTTTGTTAAAAAAAAAAAGCTGTGTTTTGCTTTGGTTTGATGAATAAGAGAAAGATTGTTGTGTTGTAAATTGGACTGAGAGATTTGTTTATATATAGTGAAACTTATTGAATTTAAATATATGGAAATATCTTAAACAAGATTTGTTCTTTTAATTTTTGGCTTAAAAATAAAGATTTGTTTCCTACTTTGTTGTTAAATTGGCCGGCTTTGATGCATTTGATCAAGACAGGTATTCAAGATTATACTTGATTCTGCTTTCACGTTCCTATAATTGGCCAATAATTTTGATTTAAAAAGAAAAAAGAAAGGGTGAAAAATATTGCAGATTTGTTTTGGAAAGTTTCTAAAAGTTCATTATTATTTTTCTAGTTTGTAATCAAGTAAATCAGTATTTGTTGCCTCTTATGGATAGCTAATCAAGAGTAAAATTAGGCTCATAAATACAAGAATCTCTAATTTTTTTTTTTTTTGGGCGAATAAGAATCTCTAACTATGGAGCTCATTGGCTGATAGTATTATATTAACTATATTTAATTTAATAAATAATGGATTATGAAAGTAGACGTGGAGCCAATTCGTTTATACGGGTTAAATAATTTATTAAAAATCAGTAGACACGTAAATGTAAATATATCATAGTATTAAGGAGTGATATTCGCCATATCCTTCAAATTAATCAGAAAATAAATAAAAAGAGAACCATTTTAAAAAGTGAATAAACATCGAAAAACGTTATTTGGCTTAAAGTTCTCACGTTCGTTGCGGATGTGCCGTAGTAAACGCTAATGAATAATAACTCTCGTAAATAATTGGCATTGAATTATGGGTAACAAATTTAATTTAGTAAAGTAATCAAAGAATTAAGACCTGTAATATAGGCATAGCTAGCCACGTGTGACGTGAGAAACAAAACGCCGACTTGATGATTATGGTGATGATTATACAGATTATGACGATAAGTGTCAATAATCATCAACACCATCGTGTTTCTTACATTCTTCCTTTGATAAAAATAAAATTAGAAAATAATTCTATCTTGACGAATTATTCGACTTATGAAGTAAAGAGTATATACATTTGTGATTTGATTCTTTTTTTCTTTTTCCCGGGAAGCAATCAATATTTACAAATCGGACGTATCTACATTATTTTCACCGTGGAAACAAAACCAATTTACGTACATACTATCGTGCTTTTAATTGTTTTTTCCTCTTTCGACCAACCCTTTTATCGGCCCACGAGCCCATTTGAGCTATAACTTCATCTTCCACTCTCTTCTCTTCTCTCTCCCATACTAAACGCTGCGTCTTACGATCTATGAAGTTCTCCAAAACCCAATCCTTAAGCCCAATATCCGTCACCTCGCAAAACCTCTCAGCCCAATCAGAAGGTTCAACGGGTCGGGTCCCTAATCCGGGTGCCCGATCTTTCGACCCGACATTCTCTTCGTTCTGCCAATCCGCCACGTAAGTGGCCACTCTCCTTTTAAACTTCTCCTTAAAAATATCCCAAACCTGATACTTGTAGTGATTAATTACCATTGTACCCTTATCCACGTCAGCAAACGTGAATCCTTCTCTCAAGTGAAAATGATGCACGACGTTGATCAGCGTTGCGTTTAGCGATTCCGGTCGAATTATGCTCTTGTGCCTCTCCGGCAACGCCATACGACACGTGTACGCCGCCGTGACTCCACTACGCGGTGGATCTCTGAGACCCGACGGTCCAAAACTATGACACGGCGTTCGAATTTCACCGATCTCACCGGAAGATGATGATGGCGTTGTGTGATTTCTGATTACTTCGATTAGCGTTTGACTAGACGGGATGTAGAAGAACTCGTCGACGTCGATAAACGCAACCCAATCGCACTCGCTCCTTGCTCGGATCGCGCAATTGGCGAATCCAGCTTCCTGGGTTTTGATCCACGGCCAAAAATGTCTCGAGATGTTGTAACCGCGTTTTTCTAGATTCGTAATCTCGGAAACTATGTCGTCATCGCTGTTGTTATCGTAGATGAACCACCGTTGAATGCCGATTCCGGCGTGGTACATGACCCATTCTCTCAAAACGCTAGCTGCGTTTCGCGTCATGGTGCAAACGCACGTTTCAAACGGTTTCTTTGTCGAGACTTTAACCCGACCCGGACGGTTAATTGGGTGGGCAACGGAAGGAAGCATCCCGCTTCCTTTGATTCTAACAGAGACCTTCACCGGAGGAGACTGGGCCAATCTTGGGCCGTCCAATACTGTTAATGGCGTTTTGCACCGTACGATTTCTTGGGCCGCCGAGATAACTTCTGATCTAAGCAAAAGTTTGGGCTTCGTGAAATCCCAACCGTACACACACTCGTACCTTGACGCGTCAGCAACTTTTCCTGGCCGTAGATTTAGCCCCTTGACGAAAACCACCGTGGAGTTGTCGTGGTCGATCACGGCGTCGTAAACCAGCCAATCCCACTGGTGTGTGGGTCCTACCAGAAGGTGATTATAAACCGTCCATCTCGAGACGGCTAGCGATACGGTTTTGCCACGTGGCACGGCGGAACACTGTACAATTTGACGGCCAAAATCGTCGATTTCGACGGCGAGCGGAAGCTCCTTAAACAGTTTAGACAAGTCGTTTGCGTCCGAGAAAACGCAAAAGAGGTTATCTTTTGTATATAACCGAGACGACGAAGGATAATTTAGGAAAATCAATGTTTGGTCGGGAAACGTAACCGCTTCATGGGTCGTGACCACTTTAACCGTCGGTACGGAGCCACCGAGAACTGTCTTGACCGATGACCGCACCACCGGCCGAATTTTGCCTGATTTATCTGAATTTTAATCAGTTTGTTATTAATAAACGATTAAATAATAAACGGCGTTTTAAAATTGTAACGGATAGATTGATTACCGAAGAAGATGAACAAAGCAGAGAAGAGAACGAAGGAGAAGACGAACAGAGCAACAAACCGGAAAAATCTTCTCCACGAAACAACGACGTCGCCACCGTTTAAACCGCCGCGTTTCCTACGGTTCTTCATCTTTAGCGCCGCCAAAAACGGCGGCGGCTGCTTATAATAAAATGCAAACTGACTTCAGGTGGGGGAAAAAAAGCAAGAAATTTGGCGAAGCAAATTTGTTTGTTTCTTACTCTCTCTGTTTCAGGCGACGATGATTTTAGGTCGACGAATTTTGCTGCAGAAAATAGTTTTTCTATTTTTTAGCTTTTCTTTTTCTTTTTCATTTGTGGATTCTAATTTTTTTTTAAAAAAATTGATTAAGAAAGAAGACAGATAAAAGTGGGATTTTGCGTTTTTTCTTCTTCGATGCTCAAAGACGTTCATGGAAATTTACAAACTTGATGTTGAAGGTTCAAGAAAAAGACCGCTTATAGCTAAACCAATACCGGTTCGACCGGTTATATATATATCTCTCTTTTTTGCTTTTAAAACCCATAAAATATCTACAACTTTTGGTCTTATTGTCACAAATATGACAAGCTCTATAATATAATGACAATATCAAATTTTACTATTTTGAAATATTAAGTGATACCAGTATTATGAAACTGAAAACTGAGGGGATAAATTCAAAATACCATTTTTATTATATCACTTTTCAAAATTCTATTTGCTGTTTATTTTCAAGTAGAATAAATTAATAGTATATGTTTATAAGATTATTTATGATAAAAAAACATGTTCAAGCGTTCATAAATCAAAAACCTATGTTCATAAAAAAATCAAATCATTTTGATGACATCAAATAGATAAATCAAAAAATTTATGAATATGTTTAATTTTTTTTTCTCAAATCATATATACGAAATATTTGTACTTTCCAGCGTCGTCTAGTAATTTACACTTGAATAATATATATAATATTAGACAGAAACAAGTTACATATTTGCCAACAAAAAAACAAAAAAAATTGGAAAAAGCAAAATATATAGAACCTAATAAAGAAGGAAAAAAAAGCAAATTATAAAGGGATACCTTGCTTGTTAATTTGTTTTTTCTCGTCAATATTTATCTATTCGGTACATCGAAATTCGAACTTATCAACTTAAAATAATTCCTCTTTTGTATTTTTTGTAAATGCGTGAGGTTGAAAGAGACGATGGCACGATTCGATTAGACTCATTGACTTTTTGAGTCATTTATTGGACTCAAGTCACTCAACACTGGAAAAAGACCTACTTTTATCGCCTGCCTATCTTATTCTCGACGTCATTTCAAACGTATGTCCCACGTCGTCGTTTCTAGTTCTTTCTCGTTTAGGTTTTCTTCTACTTCTTGTCTTTCTTCCTTTGCTCTTCGTTTTCATGAATCACTCTCTCCCTCTCACTGTCCATCGATTTCTGATCTAATTCCATCATAAAACGAATTACTAAACAAGGAAAAGGAAAATGCCAAACAACAACAAACACCCGGTTTGATATACGACTATATATGTCTATTCCGTTTACGCCAAATCAAGTAGACAGTTAGTGCTCTATGAGACTATGACTATGTCTATTACAAATCTTTTCCAAAGGTGAAAATGGAGTAGAGACTCGAAATGGAGTACATATACTAAGCTTCTTCTCTTATGCTAAATCTGTCTCTTAGAACTTTGTGATCATTTCATTATATGTACTTTGAAAAGCATTCATATTTCTGTTCATGCACCAAAATGAAGATAATAGTAAACTTTTTTTTTTTTTTTTTGGCATTTATAGGTTTTCTTATAAATGAAAGGAAAGTTATACTTCAAAATGACTTTTTAGATATCCATTCATTCAAGTGGGCAAACAAACCAAACCGAACCAATCCAAACCAAAACATTTTAGAGTTTTAGTCAATTTGAATGGTTCGGTTCAGTTTGGTTTTAAATCAAATCAAACCAAAAATCCAATCTATTTATTAGTTAATTAATAACTAAATGTTGGATCTGCGCGTCCGCGCAAGTATATGACTTTTGAAGTAAATTTTATAAATGTTTAAATTATGTAGTATAAAGAGATTTATTATATATTATGTTATAAAATAGTCTGTTTTTTTGGTATATATGTATCATGATTTTATTTCGAGAAAATGAATAATCTGTTTTTCATATATGTATATAAAAGTTAATTGTCTTTTTTTTTTCTTGCTAACAGAAAAGTTAATTGTTTTGTTGATGAATTAGCCAACTCTGCTTTTTTCCTTCTTCTAGGTGTCCAGTTTTTAGATTCGGTTTCACCTACTTTAGTTTCAATTTTCAGTTATGATATGTCTCCCCCACCTCCTCCTACAAAAAAAGTTATAGTTATATTAATAATAAAATATTTATTTATTGTTATGAGGATTAAAATTAAATTTTGTAAATACAAAAATATAAATTTGAAAATAAGATAATATAAGTTACGTGCAACTAAATCAATATAGTAGACACGCAAGTTGTTATTGTAAAATATGATAATATGTTATTGGTTTTACATGAAATTTATATTTTTTAATATTGTATTTAGTTTTTTTTTCTCCTTCTCCCTTCCTATTCTTTCTTCTTCATTTCTATTATCTATTTCTTTTTAAACAGAAAAAGAAGAAAGAATTGTTGGGGTCGATCTCCGCTTATTGTTGTTTTCTAAACCCAACTTTTATATTTAAAAATATAATATATTACTGATTTTATATATAACTTGTGTTCTTATGTTGTAGTCGATTTTTTACAGGTTTGAATATCTAGTTGTATTTTTGTTAACCACACTATTATTTTTATTTAAAAATATTTATCTCGAATCATCGGTTTGGTATATCTTGTTGGTTTGGTCCACCTATCTGGGACATGAATGGTTTAATCCGTCTTTATCGATCCAGCTCGTTGTTTCTGCTCGGCGGTTCGCCAGTTCGGCTCGGTGGTTTGCCAGCTCAGCTTGTCAGCCTGGCTTATCACCTCTTCGATTTGGCTAGGCTCATTTCAATTACTAACATTTTCTTTGTTGATTTCGTCATAGTGGAGACCGACCCCAACAATTATTTCTTCTATTTTGTTTCTCCTGCTTCTTCTTCTTAATCACTTCTTCTTCATCTTTTCTTCTTCTCTCCCTTCATTTGTTTTTGTTCTTCTCCTTCTCTTTTTTTATCCTTTATTTTTCTTTTTTTCCTTTCTTTTTCTCCGTTTTTCTCCTTCTTCGTTTTTTTAGATTACCATGAAGTTATGGGCTGAAGCCTGCAATCTATGCAGGCCCGAAACCACATCATGTAATATTAGTTTAATACCAAGAGTCACTCGATCATGTAATCTAAGCTTTGCCTAGATCCTTTACCAGTTGAGCTAACGACTCTTGGTTACTCCATCGTCTTCTCCTCCATCCCTTCTTCTTCTTTTTCATCTTTTCTTCTCATTCGTTGTTCTTCCTCTCTCTCCTTTTTTTTCTTCTTCTATGTATCCATATTCTTCTTCATCCATTCTTCTCCTTATTATCCTTCGTCTTCTTCTTCTCTTCCTCCTTCATGTCTTCTTCTTCTTCATCCATTCTCTTTCTTCTCCGTTCTCCTTTTCCATTTTTTTTATCTTCTCTATTGGTCTTATTCGTCATCACTTCTCTTTCTTCTTATTCGTTTTTCTTCTTTTTCATCCCTTCTTATTATCCTTTCTTTTCCTTCTTCTTCTTTATCACTTATTCTCCTTCTTCTCATGTTCTTCTTTTTTTTTTTTTCTCTTTTCTTCTTCTTTTTCATCTACTCTTCTTCTCATCCATCACTTTTCTTTATTCTCCTCCTTCTCTTCTCTTTCTTATTTGTTCTTCTTCTTCTTTATCAAACAAAAAAATGATAAATTAAAAACTAAAAAAATTAAAAATAACAACCATATACATAGTAAACAAACTGAAACAAAATATTTAACATATAAAAGTTTAATTTCGACTAAAAAATATTGATGTTTGCAAAAATATATTTTTTTTGAAAATCTAAATAGCGAAAACAATTAGCCAAAATAAATTAGAGAAAATGAGATAATGTGAGTTACTATTTTTATTTCCCTTATAGTTTATTGAAATAATATTATAATAAATAATTTTATTTTGTTAATTGTAAATTATGAAAATCTTTTATTAATTTACTAAATTATTATTAATATGTTTTTATATCTACAATAAAAATTTATCAATATTTTTTGTAATGTTTTTGAAAATATGCTAGAATACATATTTTTAGAATATGCTTTAAATTTATGCAGTTACTGTTTCTTAATTCAAAAATATTTTGATTTTCTTTAAAAAGCTTGCTCTATAACTTTAGTAATTGAATATTAATAAAATATTACAAAATAGATTCATTAGATATTTTATAGAACTAAATATAATTTAAATAAAATTATATGGTTATTATCTTTTACTGTTAATTAACCATGGTTTTTTTTAAATTTGATCATGTTGCATTTAAATTTGAAATTAATCTAATCAAAATTTAATTTAATATTAGATTGCACTAAACATATAAAAAATAATATAGAATTAGTCATAAAAATTAGGTTTTAGTTTATTTTCCTACAAACATAGGTGTTTGGTTATATTATTGCATAATAATACGAATATAATTTTTTTGTAATAATTATTTTGCAATATATTTCATATTATGTAAATGTATAATTTAATTATATATATTTATATTAATTATTATGTTATTTTCTTATATTGTTACATAATAATAAATATTTGAAAAATATTATTTGTTATTTTCGCAAAATGTTTTAAATTGTATAAATATTTACAATTTAATCTCATATATATAGTAATTATAATTGTCATTTTTATATAAAGTTGGTTGTAATTAATTCAATGATTAATTAAAAATTTTGAAATAACTATTTATGAGAAATTCGAAATTAATTAAATGTGTTTGGTAATTGGAGTTAAACTAATCTAAAGAATATTTGAAAATTAATGTATTTGGTAATAGGAATATAATAATTAAATAAAAAAAAAAGAAAGTGAATATTAATTGGTTGAATTAACAAATGACTAAACTATCATTAATAAAATTCAAAGGAAAATGTTAAAATGCAATGACATTTCATGTAATATAACATATGAAATGTGTTTAAACATTGAAGTGATCCTTAATTAATAGTATGAATATTGAATTAATACTAATGATTAAATTCTTATTATTTTGTTTCCATGTTTTATAATTTTGTTTTCATATTTTTTTAAGAATTTATTTAAATTATTAAGTTTACAATACAACAACGTTAATGATGTACTCCTAACTTATGTATTTTAATTGTTTCCTACCTAACTCAAGTGTAATAATTATGTAAGTTATTTTAATGGTGTTAAATACCTCATGTAACTTTGTTCTGAAATTAGGAAAACACAAGCCTAATTCGGCGAGCAAATCACTTTTTTTCTGGGATAGAGATTCCGTGTAACCTAATCCTCTTAATTAGGGTTCCAAGAGGGGTCATGTCGAAGGAAGAAGAAGAAGCCAGTGCTTTGATCCTTGCTGCTTCACCACCTTACACACCAAACCCTTACGGCTGTGATTCACCGCAGCCGCTGGAATCTGAAAGTTACGCACCACCAAACACTTACGGCTGTGATTCACCGCCGCCGCCGGAATCTGAAAGTTACGCACCACAAACCACTTACGGCTGTGATTCGCCGCAGCCGCTGGTATATAAAAGTGAAAGTGATTCTCCGCCTCGGGCCTGTTATTGTCCTGATTCTCCTTATTCACCCGCCCCGCCGGGCTATCGTACCATTAACACCATGGACCTCCCCAGATGAATGGCCCGCCGAAGATTTCTTATGGTCGCGACGATTCGGAGCTCCGGAGCGGCCGGAATATGAAGCACCACCTTATATACCGTCAGCACCATCTTATATGCCGCAGCCTCCAGGATCTGAATGTCGTGCACCACCTTATTCACCGCCTTACGCACCAACCACGACTGACGGCTGTCATTCACCGCAGCCGCTGGAAGCTGAAACTGAATCTTTTGCATCATCACCGTCACCACCACCTTCCGAGGGTCATTCACCGCAGCCGCAGGAACCTAAGTGTCGTGCACCGACATACGCACCAACAACAAGTAACGGATCTGAATGTGGTGCAGCAGCATACGCACCAACCACTGAAACCCCTCTCACCACCTCACCGTCGAAAAAGTATGGTGAGATAGGGCTGTATGGTCAAATTGGACTTCATTGCTACAATCTGCACAAGGGCACAAATTTACAGTTTTTGGACGTAGCATTGTTCCATCCTTCCGCAATGTTTTGTTGGCGTATATTAATAAAGGCCGCAGAGGAACCAATAGGCAAATCCACTTGCTACCTCGATACAGGAATTTTTCATAGCAATAAGATGCAAGGTTGCAGGCGAGTTGTTGTAACGCGCTGCTCGTTACGGCCAGAGGTGAAACGATGTTGCTATGAAAGACCTGTGGTGGATGATTTCTTCAAAGATGCTATGCCCACTTGGATCCCTGAGGATGCGCTCACGGGCAGCTGCAAGCTGCAATACCACGAGTTGACAAAGTCAGAGGTGGAACAAGACAAGGGATGGCTTCAACTCTACGCTCTGCTCGCGTATTTGGCCTTGGAATTGGAATTTTACCCGGAGGAAGCGGATCCATTCGTGGAGCTGAGAAAGGTAGTTGTGCAAACCAAAGAAGATGTGGAGCCGAGGAAGAAGGCCAAGGCCACGTGTGCAATCTTCTACATTAGCTTCAGAAAGAGTGACGGTCAAGACTTCAATGCTATCATTAGGAGAACAACGGTTGAAATTCCCGGGCATATGGAGCTTGAATTCAAGTGTTTAATGTGAAACCCCCTTCATCCATTATGTATTACTATCATTATCGTCCCATTATATGTATTTAAGTATCTTATCGATCTAGGTCGTCGGTCGTATTTGCCTAATGCTGTGCTTTCTCTTTTGCTTGTGTGCTACTGCTAGCCATGGGGGCAGACCAACCCCAGTGCACATCTGCAGGGGTTTAATAATAATTTTTTTGTAATATAACTGAATTAAAATATTATGTAGAGCATCTAATCTTTTAAGTAAGTGTCTAAAATATGATTTTTTTTTAAAATTTAAGAATAAATACGTGAATGAACAAAAAAAAATTAACACAAAAAAAAAATCTATTAAATATTAATAAATTAATTATTAAGACTTCATACCAATGATGTTACGATTAGGGTTGCTCTAAATAACTTGTGATTCCACTTTGGTTCTATATCTCTATATATGTATAAGATTGTTGGTTTAAAAAAAAACTTTATTCTGAAACTAATAAGCCAAACGTAAAAAAAAAACAAAATATAAGTATGTGGCCAAAATTAAAACAAATTGAACTACAAAAATGTAAAATGTTTTGTCATAAAATTACATCCAAATGTTTAGTAAAAATAGCGTTGCAACGCGTTAATATATCTAAGAATTCAGTTTAGGTTACAGACTTTTCTGATTTTTATTTCCCAATAAAAAAAATCCCATTTTAAATATTTAACCATTTTAAAAAAAAAATTTTAACCATAAATTTCGTTTTCCTTTTTGTTTCAATCCTAAACCACCTCATGTCAACAGCCATAGCAGAAATAATGTATTTTTGTTAAACTTCTTAGGTTAATAATCTATGCACAGTTTCTAGAGATTTTCTATCAAATCCCTCGTATATAAAATTCAGATTTGAGTTTGTTTTGTTTTTATTGAAAAGAGAAAGAAAAAAATTCTGGATTTTTCAAATTTTATTTTTATTTCTGTCTCGTGGGACCCATATATCAACAAAACGTCTTCAGATCGTCATCTAAAACATGTGTTTGGTCTGAGAAACAAAATCTCTTTTTGAAATTTTCGAATTCTATAGCCGTTTGGCTGACAGAAAGGAAAAAACAATTTCATAAAAAAAGATTCTTTAGAGCTGAGAAAAACAGAAAAAAATTGTTCATTCTTCGAAGAAATTCTCGGTTTAGCCATGGCTGAATCTGCTGTTCTGTTTCATTCCCATTCGTTCGCAGCTCCTCTTACTCGTAACGAATCTTTTGAGGTTAGTCTCTTTCGTCTCTATGATTAGATTTGTTTCAGAAATTTCGATTGTTTCGAGGCGATCCGGAATCAAAGTCGTAACCTTTAGGGTTATCTTGATAGATTTGTTCTCAATTCCTGGATTTTTAGTGGAAAAGTTTCTTCCTTTGGCCTCAATTTTCCCGGGAATCAAAAAGAAAGTTCGTTGAGAATCTGGTGAAATCATGAATTTGGGTTTGAGCTTTAGCTAATGATTTATCAGAAAGTTTATAAATTTGGTTGAGTTTTAGATCATTGAAGATTCTGAGTTTTTTGTTCTTTTATAATTTTGCAGGATAATACGAATCATGCGCTTAGCCAATCAGTCTCGTTTGGTAGGTTCATGACGGAGAATCTTGAATGGGGAAAATGGTCAAGTTTCTCACACAAGAAGTATGTCGATGAAGCCGAGAAATTCTCTCAGCCTGGATCTGTTGCTCAGAAGAAAGCTTTCTTTGAAGCTCATTACAAGAAGATAGCTGAAGCCAAGAAAGCAAAAGCTTCAGGTGAATCATCTGATGACTCGAAACAAGAACAACAAGCAGAGAGTGTTGCGGTGTTGCTGAACACTTTGGAGACATTGACTAAAGATGAGGTTAAGGAGAAAGAAGAAGAAGAGAGTATTGAAACTGAGTTAGTATTGAGTAGTGAAGAGTTGGTTAAGGAACAAGAAGACTCTCTCGTTGTTGAAGATGATTTGCAGGTTGGTCATGAAGTGGTTGATGAAATAGAAGAGAAAGTGGATGGAGAGTTGTTGAAGAAGAGTGGAGAAGAAGAAGAGAGAAGATCAGTAAGCAATAAGAACTCATCATCTATGGAGAAATCAGAAACTCCGGAGAAAGCAATGAAGCTTTTTATAAGGTAACCATAAAGCAGTTTTTGATTGTTTTCTCTAACAATTTTGTTCCTTCATCTGATTGTGTAATGGCGATTTGGCAGCAAAAGTCCTATAACTCATAATACTTCGATGAAGAGGAAAGAGAAACCAGTTCGTCCAAGATTCAGTTTCTTGAAGTAAGACATGATTTTTGTTTTCTCCTACCTCTTGAGCCAATTTGGATTTTGAGTTGGTGTTTCTTGTCCCTAATTGTTTACTGTTTTTATGATGTAGCTTTTTGATGGGAAACACTAAAACTCAAGATCAAAACACAACAAGGAAGAAGGTAAGGTTTCGATTTCAAGAAGAAGACATTTTTATCATTTCTTAGACTGACACTAGGTTTGTATTCTGTACTTTCAGAGACCGAACAAACCGTTTCTGTGTCTTTGCTTCAACCCTGAGATGGTTGGGGAAACAGAAGCGCCAACCAAAACACAGAGGAGGAATCTCTGAGAGTAAAGATAGATTCTTTCCTCTTGGCTTCAAAGCTTTTAGAAAGATCTGTCCTCAGATTCTTTGAGTGCACAGTAGCAAGAAACTGGAATACCAGAAGGCAGTTTGTTTCTTTTTCTTTTTTACTTGTATTGTATCTCTAATAAAACCTTTTGTTGTATGTAATCTTCATCTTCAAGAAAATCTTAAAAATACTTTTGATTTGGATATATTAGTCTGTGTTGTTGTTCATTGAGATGTTTGACTCCATGAGCCTCTATTCTCATTTGGAATGAAATGAGTTTGTTCAGTATAATTTTGAGTAAAAAAATCAAATAACATTTAAATAGATATAATCACTTCAAAGTTATTCAACATTTACAAAGCAAAATGTAACAACTTGACATAAGTTATTATAATTATAAATCACAGTTTTTGATTTAAGAATCAAAATCACATTTACATAGATATATGAACCATTCATCCCCAAAGTTATTAAAAGTGATAAACATTTACAAAGCAAAAGGCAAAGACAATTCTTTGGGGGAAAATAATCAAAGAGATCAATTAAGTCATCATTTCTTCAACCAAACACCATCCTTCTTCATCAAATTCTTCCACGTGATCCATCATCATCATCATCATTCCCACATCACAGAAACTCATCCTTCCATCATCATCATCATCATTAGACCCATCTCCTCCTTTTTCACCATCGTCATCACCATCACTCTGTAGATTCACAATCTCCTCTACAACACTTTCTTTGTATTCTTCTTCTTCTTCTACTTCTTCTTCTTGTAATACTTCTTCATCAGATTCATAATCATAATCATGATCATAACCATAATCATCAGACATAAGATCAAGGATTCCGGTAGCAGAGAACCCGGAAAGCTTCAAACCGGGTCTGGGCCCACCATCAGCAACCTGCCAAGTCAGCATCTTGTAGGTGACGTCATTCGATCTCATCTTCGAAGAGCCTTTAGTTTTGACTTTGGATTTGGTGATGGGATGCATATGGCACTCAAGGCACCTTGCCTGACCACATTTTCCGGTGAACTTGGAGTGGTTGGTCGGCTTCGATGGCACTTTGGTGAATAATCCAGCGGTTGGGCGGCAAGTCAAAGGGTTGACCGATTTGGATTCCGGCCTTGGATTCAGCGACGGAGGCAGAATCCGGTAGGTTCTCACCATACCGTGTTGTTTGCCTTCTCGCTTCATCTTAAGCCGTTGATTGATGAGACCTTTACTACACAAAGAAGAAGAAAGATGTGAAATGAGAAATGTGGAAATGATAAAAAAGGTTGCTTGAAGGATATAATAAGAAGAGGTACTAAGGAATATGCTTGCGGGACACGGAACAATCAAAAGTCAAGACAATATTCCATAAAGTGTGTAGCTTGTGGACCAAATCAATTGAGTTGTGTAGATAATAACTTCCACTATACAAATAATTGGGAATTTCCTCTTGTTATTCTTGCAGAAAAGGTTAAAAAAAAAGGAAAAATAACAAACTACACGCAAATTTTATGTTTAATCTTGTATATACTAAATCATTTTTTACATTAACAATTAATCTCTAAAAAGAAAATTATAAACCAATTTCAATAGGAGAATATATATTTTTAGAAAGTCTCACATAGATATATAGTCCTGATTTCATAAATGGATATAATTTATATAGAAACTTACACAAACTTGCAAGAAACTTTGCGGCAATAAAAAGAGTCGAGTGTTTTTTGTTTTCTTGTCAAAATTGAAAGTCTAATTGTTCATGCAAAAACCTTTCTTATTGCATCACAAACTGAAGCTGTGTGTACTTGTACGTGGAAACAGAAAAGCAAAACGAAATTTGAATAATTAATTATGTTGAGAATAATATAAGACTTTTCAAGAAATGAAAATAATCAATATAGATTTTTTTACTATACACAAGATTGGGTCCGTCTAGGTCAAGAAAGACTCTCACAAACCTATACAGTTATGATATATACTGAGAGATGATATATAAGAAAATCAATTGCGCCAATACATGAAAACACAAGATTGACCATATGTTTACATTCTCTGTGTTCTATTGTAGTGATACATATGCAAATAACATGTGATAACTACGAGTCTGAATCATCTGATACATGAGCAAAAAGTGATAACAAAAAAACGAATCATAAGAATGAATGAATATAATAAGATTTCAACATTGACCTTTGAAAACAGAAAAACATCGTGGACATTTTTGGAAACTACCACAAACAAATCCTCATCTTGAACAGAAATATCCGTAATCCATATTTTGACTTCATTCGCTAAGAATTGAATAGAAGCAAAAACTCAAAACTCAAGTTCATAGATTCCAAAAGAGTGAAAGAAGATGCACTCAATATGTTATAGAACTGAACTAGGTAGGACTTTATAAGACACCGCAAAGGGTTTTAAACGTTGTTATGTTTTAAAGAAAATTTTCACTGCATAAGCAAAGTGAGGTTACTAATTTTGATAGGTGCCTGTATTTATATGCAGTAATGATTAAGGGATACAAAGAGTGTCTTACTTCCTATGAGCAATAGGCTCTGGAGAGAATGCATCTGAAGGATTCATATCGTTTATTTCCTCCTCGTTTTCTTCCATCATTAACTTCTACATCTTCTCCACCCTCTGAAAGTTACTCGAGGCCATGTAAATGCCTCTTCAGCATCTCAGCGTGTATTTCCTTCAAGCAACCCTGTTAAACATCAAGATAGTCAGTGAGTATGCGAAAAACAAATCCTCTGTTTTGAAAATCTAACAGCCCAAGATCATCCACGTCAACGGTATTAAGCACATTGAGTTACTCGTATACATGTATATACTAGCATGAAACAAAGAAGAAAGAATGCTAATCAACCATCAAGAAGAGAGAACATGAGGGTCCCATAGAAGATATTGTAACAAAATTCCATAAATGCATAATCACTCCAAATGCATGAATCACCTCGAATGCATAAAATGAGTCTCGTTGAAGAATATACCTCCCGTTCTCCCAATACTGTACGCGTGTTGGAGTTGCCCGATCCGAATCCAGATACATTTTGATATCATCGCGAAGCTCTTCCATATCTTTAACAGTGAGTCCCTGCATCATACATTTCAGAAGATAACACGTCAATTTTAATAATAAGCGTCATAGAAATCCAAAAAACCAGTGGACTCTTCTTCCTTCACCAAAAGAGAACAAAGGATTGTAGAAACGAAGCGCAGAGAGAGAGAGAAAAAAGGAAATTTTGCCAGTCGAATGAAATCAATATTCGTTTTCAGAGGAAAGGTCCAATATATATAGAGTCGGGCCTGGGGGTTATGCTACGTCCATTCTTCGTCAACTGGGCCTAACATAGGCCCATCATTTTATTTTGTCAACACGTTAAGCTTAGTATAAAATAGAAATATTATGATTGCGTTATATTTACTAGTTAATTATTAATTACTGGCTTTCTAATACTAGTTAATACTACGTGCAAATATATAATATAATTTTTTTTAATATATATTTGATTAAATTTTTACATTAGTTAAAATATTAATAATTTTTACATAGTTAAAATAAATATTTTTAATTTAAAACAATAATAAAAAGTGTTATTCTTTTGTAAATAATAAATAATAATCTACATAATAAGATAATAAATCTTTGTATATTTAAACAATATATTTTTGTAGAATTGAAAATGTTTTTTTGAATTAATAATTTTTTTAATCTAATAATAAGTTGATTTTTTGTTGTTAATATAATCTACATAATTTGCTAATTTTTTTATATTTTTTGTTAATTATTATAATAGTAGTATTTGGAAAAAAAAATTTAAAAATAAAAAAGAAACATATATATAATTTTTGTATCTTTAATGTATCCTATTATTGTATAAAAATAGAATTTGGAAAATTTTCTAATAAGTCAAAAATTTTTTTTAACAAAAATAATTAATTATAGATGATGATGTGGACCAATGAAAACGAATCTTTTAAATGATATGTGGTCTTGGAAATTTAATAAATCAAATTTTAGAGTTTGGAAATTTACTAATAAATCAAAATATATAATTAATTAACTTTAATAAATAGATAATTAATTAATTAATTTAGAAATTTTCCTAATAATAATAAAAAAAATTAATTAATTTTAGTATATATAATTAAATATAGATAATGATGTATACCAATAGAATTGAATCTTTTAAAAACTTTTCTAATAACAACGAAAATGGAATTAATTTATATGAATATGTACATAACGATATATACTAATATAACTCAACCTTTTAAATCTTATGTGGATTTTTTTTTCCAACTTTTTACAAGCTAATGAACATGGGTAATGGACACCTCTCATGTGCTCCTTCTTGTGGATAGATTGTATGGACATCTTCTCATGGACATATTGTATGGACACTCTCTCATGGATGATGATGCCAAACTCGAGTACTTAGAGATCGACAATGATAATGGTACTTGTGAAAATTTAGATACTTTGTCCACAATCCTTTGACCATGGTTCCTTGTCCACGGTGTCCTGTCCATGGTTATGTGGTCCACAATTAACACAAGTAATTGAAAGAATGTTTTTAATCACAAAAGTAATTGTGGACAAACGTACACTCCATTCATAAAAAAGGGAACATCTCTACTCTTCTCCATCTCTTTGAATTATTTTGTATGCTTCATTGTGAATTCTTAAAAATAAACTATCTTAAATTAAAGACCTTTGGGATTCAACAAGAGATGAAAGTAAATGTTACAATCAGAGTTTTTGTTCTCAAGTCTTTAATCTCCTGGAAAGTTAATATAAGATGCAAAGACTGTCATAAAGACATCAAAATATCTACAACTATTTATATACTATTTAAATCTGTAAAGACATTGAGCTAAGCAAACAAAAAGTCCATAAATAATTGTTCATGTTTCCTTGTCCAATTGCATTGTCCATGGTGCCTTGAGCAAAATGGCAGCAGCAGCTTCAGATGATATGCTAACCTGAAAATAACACATACATGAACAACCATGCTATATGTGTATACGTACATATGAACAAAGCTACCTGTGTAATGGACACAAATCATATAAACTGTGGTCGAGACTGAAATTAGGTCGACAAAGCTACATGTGTAATGGACACAAATAGTTGTTCATGTTTCTTCGTCCATATGTTACCTATCCACATGTCGCAAACATGTGTATGATGTTATGTTTGGAGAATATGCCTTTTGAAAATATTTGGATCGTAGACATGTTCTTATGGACATTATTATGGATATGTTTGTGTGGGTATTGAGTTGTGGACAAATGTGTGTGAAAAATCAAATCATAATCTAAGAATGATAGTTCAATAACCTAAGCAATGGTATCTACATAGTCGAACTTGTGTGGATAAAAATGCATAGACAGTGCTTGTATCATTGAATAGAGAAGAGTAAGATAGTTTAATAAAGATCATTGGAATGAATAGTTTAACTCTATGATAATGTGTATATGTATTTGGAATGATCTTTGTTTAACTCTACGATAATGTGTCTATGATAATGTGTATATGTATTTGGAATGGATAGTTTAACAAAGATCATTGGAATGAATAGTTTAACATTCACAAGTAAATTGTTAGACTTGGAGAAAGTGTGATGTTTTGTTTTAGAATTTCTAAAATTAGAGTTATTTTGAAAAATGTCTTTAACATTATTTATTAGCAAAACTTCATGTCACACATATCATTTATTATGCTGCATTCATGTCGTTGCATCTATGTCATTGCATCAATACAGTCTTGTCCATTAAACAAAATATTATTTATAATAGCATCCTCCTTCTTATTATTTGAGAAGTAACAATAGTGAAAAAGCTGATTTGTCAACATTACAGCCAAAGTTAGTGCTTTTAATTGATGACATGTAAATGTGACATGTCAAACTTCCTAAAATAAATGAAATGTTTTTATTAGTTGAATTAAAATTATAAAAATTATGGAATTAAAATATAAATAAACTAGATTTTTATTTATAACACTAAAATTAACAAATTTAAATTAATAGAAAATAAAATTTATTATAATTTCAATTTTTTACATATTTTCATAATTTCATAAATTATAATAACAAAATTTTTTCAATAATATATATAAATATATTATAATTTCTTATAAAATGAAAAATAATACTAAATTATCGAATAGAATAATAAAAATTCTATTTATTAATAGTACTTATAGTATGATATTTTTATTTCGGAAAGTTATTAATTTACAAAATATATTAATAACATCTAAACAAGTTTTAAATAAACAAATTATTAAATAATATAATTTTAAATAAAATATAATCATGATAAAAATAATTTAAAGAACAAAATGTTAAAAATAAGAAAAAAATAATCAATTTTTATTGATTTTTTTTTTAAAAAAAACGTAAAATAATTTTTCTTTTCAAACCAATATTTACTAAATAAATAAAGTATATACTAATTATTATTTTATAATATTAATAGGACCATATATTTTTCTATAACTTTTATCATCTTTTTATTGTTGTTTTCTAAAATGTACATAACTTATGTTACCATCTCCTCTTATTTCTTATTATATTTTAAATAGAAATAAATTATATATATACATAAATTTATTTTCATTGTATATCAAAATTTTGAGAACATAAATAAAATAAAAAATAACCGAACAAAATCATAAATTTTAATAAGATGAAACAAAATGAATAAGAAATAAAAATAGAAGTATATAAAAAAAAATCTCCCGCACTTTGTTTTACAAAGTCACTTAATAACTTTTTAATACCTAAGAGCCATATTTCAATTTTTTACAAATACGCGTACATACATAAATATTAATTGTACGTTAGTTGAAGTCACATGTGAATTTTTCCGTGCATGTATTTTGTTAAGATTGATTACATGCTAATTTGTATTTGAATTATTATACAATTTATATTTTTAAAAATATTTATCTATTCTAAGTGTAGTGAAGAAGTTGGTATGTCCACACATGCGTGTCAACCATCTATCCGCTCTTAAGAATAAGTAAAAATGGTAAAAACTATTTCAGTTTAATTTGCAATAAAAAAAATATACTTAAAATATATTATATATGTATTTGTAGATTCATATTATGTAAGACGCAAAAAAGCATCTTGTAGATTATGTAAGGAGAAATAAAACATATTATATAAATATTTAAAAAATATTAAAAAATTTAATTATTATTTAACATAACTTTTATATTTGTGATTATATATTATTACAAGAATTATAAAAATAAAGTTTTTTAAATACATTGGTTTCAGAAAGTTTGTGAAATATTAAAAAATATATATATATATACAAATATACCAATATTTAAAAAAATTAATTAATATTTAAATATTACAATTAACTATGTATAAAAAAAAAATTATACTGCACATATGTGCAGGCAACCACCTAGTGGTTAGTATTTTATAGACAATTGGATATATAGACAAATTTGTTCATAAAATAAATATATTACGTATTTGGTAACATGGACAAAATAATGTATGATGGATTTTTTAATTGTCACCACTGTCATTGACAATCAGATTGGAACCACTTCTTAGACCCCAATCGAGAGCTCTCTTTGTGCACCACCAATATTCTTGAAAAGTCTCCCCTTTCCAGTGAACACTGCGGCAGTTTGGATTGTCATATGGATGGATTCAGTGATTCTAGCTCCTTTTAGTGGTTGAGAAGGTCCGAATTCAGTATGGCAAGAGACGAGTCCAGACATTTTGACCTCATCAAACTCGATCTTGAGATGGCCAAAATCAACGTGAGACATGTTTTTAACCTTGTATTTACTGCCATTCGGACGTCTTCTCCACAAACAATGTCATTGTTGGAAAAAACTTAATTTTTTTTCAGATATGTGAGATGTGAAGAAAAGGTAATAAATATGAAAGAGAAACTAAAGGTAGAAAATGATTTTGTTACCAAAAGTGTTTAATCTGTTGCAAAGGTATATTAGTCTTTGTGCATATTGAAAGTGTGTCATCAACTGAAAATGTGCAAATATGTAAGGGAAGATGTAAAAAGTGTGTAATTATCTCAAGTTTTAATGTATGTTATTACAAGAATGGGTCCGTGTAGGACAAGAAAGAGTCGCAAAAAGCTTAGATGAATTCAAATTTTCTTCTCTTTTTTTTTTGCCTGAAAATTTAATATTAAAGCCTTGACGAATACGATACAAAACGGCAGAAAGAGTTTAAATCTTCAGAAACAAAACTAGAGCCAAAAATACATTAGAATCCATTTTGTTCTTACAAGAGAAACTCCACATTGACCATTTTAGAATACTTTTTTTTTCTTTCTATAATAAATAATGCTACATGAAACTGATCCTTTTAAGACAATCACGTATTCGATAAACTACGAGTTTGAAGAGTACTTTTTTGTACAAAAGGGAAGCTGAAACTAAGGATATTTGTTCTCTCTTACTTTGATTCTCCAGAGAATTCGGATCTTTAAACATGTTCATGAGAAGGATCAATGAGAGGCTCGTTTGATTCCTGACCAGTTTCCAGAGATTTTGAGGCTTTCTTCTCAGGGTATAACACATAGTGTTGAAACATGAAGAGGACATCGAAAAATATTGAGATCTGCAGAAAGATATGAGAGAAACTTATTAGAGACATATAGGAAGAAAAAAATGAAGAAAGAAGAACTCAGAAATTTTCTTACGAGTGATAGAAGAGTCTTTCCAATGTTCCCATAGAAATTCACCCAAGAATCTGGAAAAAAACAAAGAAGATAAGAAGTTTAGTCTTTGTGTTCCAAAATTCCGTTGTTATGAAGAGAGCAAACAAAAAACTATTTGATGTGATCATTACTTTGGTCAATAGATTGTATAACCATTTGCAGATAATTAGCGAGTCCTCCACCAAAATCGAGAAGAATGTTCCCGATGCTCCACCCAACTGTGCTCTTCCTAATGAAGTTCATCTTCGCCTGTGAAGAAACACATGAATCTGAGTAACACAGAGATTCAACCAATTGTGAAAAAAACAAACAAGTAGAAGAATCGTTTCTCTCACTTGTGGAATGTACTTGACGCATGTCATCACAACCTGAATCGAGCTATATAACATTACCATCAAAAAGTGTCAAGAGCCTAATCACAATCACAAAAAGAAATGGGTCTAATAAGGCACTTGTTGCTACAACTTACTTGAAGATGGTGATGAGCCAGAGCCAAGACTGTGTAGGCAATGCTATGAAGAAACAGATAGCTGCGAATGCCCAAGCAACAATCACAATACCTGTAGCAAGTCTCGATACTTTTTGAGGTCCACGCTGAGATTTTCAAGTCACAAGAAACCATCAAGAAAAAGGATAAAGCAAAACAAAAGCAAACATTCAAGATAAAGTAAGAAAAAACTTCATTACTCACTTCATAGATAAAGATCTGGAAGAGTGTAAGAGCTGTCATTGTAACTGCATGAATTGAGAATGCAACATCATTTGCAGCCACAGGGATCATCTGAAACATGAGCAAAAATCATAACAAAATACGAATCATCAGAAATGAATATCATAAGGATTCAACAGTGACCTTTCACAACAGAAAAACATCATGGACATTTTTGGAAACTACCACAAAAAAATCCTCATCTGAAACAGAAATATCTTGTTTTGGAAACTACCAGAACAAGAAAAACACCATGGTCATAAATTTGTTAACTTCGAAAAGGAATAAACTTCCCTGAAGCAAAAACCTCTGAACCATGAAGATAACTCAAGACTTAAGCTCATAGATCCCAAAAGAGTGAAAGAAGATACAAATCATCCATCTTAGAACCAAAAAGAGACTAATTTTTCGGGATTCCACACTAATCTCAGAATCATCAATCGAATCAACAGCGATGATACTTAATCCTTGAAAAAATTGGTACAAAACGCTAAAGCAGAGAAAAAGGAAAGAGACCTCTTTATCGCCATAAGTGTCAAAGTACTGCTTCTGGATAACGGGGCTAAAGTAGAGGCAGACGTTGTAGATCATATACGACGAGTGCTTCGTCAAATTCAACAGCACGAAGTCGAAGTTCAACCCAACAACACTTTTCCCCCCAAAACGAAAAAAAAACACAAAATTAATTTCAATTCACGCCGCAAACCCAGAAAATTCCCTGAGAAAAAGAAAGGGATCGGTACCTTTTCCTGCGGAAATTCAAAATCAGCTGTGGGTAAAAGCTAATCGACCACGAAGCAAACGCGATCCACCCGACGATTTCGTAAGAGATTTCGAGCGGAATCGAATTCCACGAAGCCATAATACCTCCGTCTCTAGATCGATTCGATCAATCGTTTCAATTTTTTTTTTTTTTTGTGTAACCTTTTTCTAAATTTGTTCTTGAAGTTGACGACGAAGATTGATCAGTGATGAAGAAGAAAGTCTAAAAACAGAACGTTATTGGGAAAATGAAATACAGTATGAGGAAGCATAAATTATGGGTCCCCCATATGATAACGTGTCATGATCTGGAGACTCAAGATTAATTAAGGATTCTACGATCAGAGCGTGATGCGTGAAGCACGTGATGATCAACGAGCCTTATCTGAATCTGGCGGTCTTTACGGTTAGGTTCGTTATTTATCATCGGCGGCTAAGCCATAAACGACGACGTTTTGATACCCGTTATTTTAGAACAGAAACCAGCACGTCGTCGTTTGATAACGGTTATAAATTGAAAGAAAGAGACACAAGGGTTTTTAAAGTCCACTAAGGGCCCAATAATCCGGCCTTGTGGTAAAACATACTATTTGAGCCAATACCACCACACTCGGCTTTGTTTATAAGCCTATTGCAGGCCCAATAATCGAAATAATCTTACACACCGTAATTTTAAGCTTCTTCGCGTAAACTTCTTGTCAATACAACGGTAATATTTCAAATAAAATGGAGCCGCTAAGAACAATTACAGACCGTTAAACACTCTCTAAACGGCTAAACCTTATACTCACATCATTGAACTTTTATTTTTTCCCAAGCTCTCAAATCTCTTCTTCTTCATCATGATCGTCTTGATCTTCTTCATCATGATCGTCTTGATATCCCGCCGATCACTGTTGTTATCAGAATCGGTTTCATATTGTACGAACACCATGAGGGTCATATCGGAGAGTCGCCGGAGTTTATCTAAGCCACGTACGACGAAAACTCAGGTAACATAATCTACTTTCTTGTATAATGGAAAAACCCTAATTTTTACTAACGTTAATGATTCATACGCCTAGATCGGTTATATTGTGTGAAATTGATTCTCACACATTCGTTATCATTTGGATTTAGTTATTCTCTTTTTTTTTCCTCGTTTGACTTTGTGGTGAATCCATCTTAATTAGCTTTTATATCCAGAAGTAAAAACAAAATGTAGCTTTTATTTTAAAGTAGTCAAGTGTATTATTGCTTACTCATGATAAGTATATCCACTCTGTTCTACAACACTTGGCTGATTTTTAAACAAAATGTAAAATCTCTGCTTCTTCTTGTTAACGAGTTCTTGTAATGTGAACGTTGTTGATATGATATAATTTATACATTGTGTAATTTCAGGAGAATGTATCAATGTATGCGGCTTTCGATGATTACACGGATAACGACAATTAAGCAATGTAAAGTAATTTGTTTTCTAATAAATTTTCTTGTGAGATTTATATTAACAAATTTAAGGTTAAACACTTAAACTCGACAGTTCATGGAGTGTTTACTTAAATAGTGAAGCAACTTTGAACCGATTGTGGGGATTAGCTGTAGATTGTCTCTTAGACGCTACTAACTCAAGCTAAGGTACGATTTACCACATAGTCAAATAATAAATAAATTAGTATACAGTTAACACATAACTTGAAATTTTTTGGTATGTCCACATTGAATTTTTTTTTTAACGTATACATAAAACAGTTTTAAAATAATGAATTAATTAGAGAAAAAACTTGAGTGCTAAAATTATAAAACTATACTAGACATGTTGTCTTTTGTTCGATACCATGTTCGCCTTATTTTCAAGGCATAAGATACATTTTTAATTGATTCAATAGTCTAAAACTGTTTTAAACCTAATCTAATTGAATTTAAAGAATGATTTTTTTCTTGTCAAATTAATATAAACTTAAGTGCTAAAATTATAAAACTGTGAAAATAGACAAAACATGGAGTCTTGTCTGTTGATTGTTATGGGCTTCATGTTTGACTTATTTTTACAGTAGAAATATATCTAGCTCTTAAGTTTTTAATTAATTTAATAATAAAAATTTACATTCCTTTAAATTTTATTAAGGTTAGAAATATTTACATGCTAATGAAGCAATTAAAGAGAAATTTGAGTGTTAAAATTATAAGACTGTGCCATGTTCGGCTTATTTTCATCTCTACATCCAATCTCATCACCACTTATATTGATCTTGATTTAAACAAATGGATTTAGTGAAAATTGGATTTTTCTGGATTTGTTCTTTTCGATTTGCAAAGAATATACGGATCCAACTACCGACGAAATCGAATTCGTAGAACCCAGATCTGCAGCAGTAGATTCTGCTATAGAAGATAAAGTTTTTTCATTTTAGTGCATAATTATCTGTCTATGACCCCATGACAATATGTCCACTATAACCTATATATAGATAGTAAAAAGGGGTTAATACACCTATGGATTTTGAGAGATTAGCAATAAGTGTTAATGGACAATGTGATATGTATGAAATCATATAGATAAGTTAAGAGCAATACAACCAAACAAACAACCTGAAGCTTCTTTCTCAAAACACCTTCTTGTTGTGAAGTGGAGCTTTAGTTTGCGTGTGTTGTATGGACAATCTATGATAGATGCAACGTCTATCAATAATGTTATATACAATCAATGTGTCGATACAGTTTGTCTAGCATTCGTGTCCACCTGTTCGTGTCCACCTGGAAACATAAACGAAACTGTTGACCATGAGTACATGAACAAGAGTGTCATGGACTATCAAAAGCTTATTTAATAGTATCGTGGACAATTTTATACAATGTATCAATTAATTTGTATCATTCGATTTGTGTCCATCAAACCGTGTCCATCAAATCGTACATGAACAAGAGTATCATGGACTATCAAAAGCTTATTTAATAGTATCGTGGACAATTTTATACAATGTATCAATTAATTTGTATCATTCGATTTGTGTCCATCAAACCGTGTCCATCAAATCGTATACATCAGATTGTAACTAATACACAGATTAATATTTCAAGACTCTTAATTATCAGAATGAAAGATTATTTTATATCAATTCATCTGTCCATGTCAAACCGTCCATATGTAAAGATTATTTTATATCAATTCATCTGTCCATATCAAACCGTCCATGTCAAACCGTCCATATGTAAAGATTATTTTATATCAATTCATCTGTCCATATCAAACCGTCCGTATGTACACTCCCTATCAAGTCTTTTTGTTTGTGTCCATATGTTTGTATGTATCCATCAAATTGTTCCATCGTCGTCTTCTCCAGCATAAGCAACAACACTGTCCAGAAAGTACTATCGACGAATCAGGTATTTTGTCCACGACTCCATGTCCACCAATCCATATCAACGAGTTCATGTTCACCAATTTATGTCCACCACTTCATATCCACAAGAAAACCATGTCCACGAATTGACACACCACCACATCCTTCTTTTCCACCAAGACAGATCTGACGATCTTTTCAAACCCTCCACCTCCACCATCAGCCACAAAATCTCCAGTGACACAAAACAAAAATCTAGAAAACATAATAAATATCATATCAGATCTACTTGTAACCATGAATTAATTGAGACTTATCAAGGAATCAAACAATTACATAAACTATTGAGGGAAGAACTCAAATTGCATATGTTGAGGATTCTTATCTTCCATGTTTGAATTGGAGTCGCCAACAGTGGTATCTTCCATCTCCGGTGATGTAACAATGGGTTGGATGGTTTTTCGATGGGTGATTTTTAGTTTACCGGCGACTCATAATTTCCAACCTTCAGAAATTCTGGGTTTTTGAAATAAGGTTCTCAAAGAGAGAAACTCGAATTTTTGAAGGTGATGGTGTTAATGTAACTTGAATTTCTTTGATGATGTCTACAAATTTTTGGCTTTGTAAAGATTAGGGTTTCCAGGTTGACCGCAACATTTTGAGAAGGGGAGTGAACAAATAAATGACAGTTTTGTAAATGCAAATGCCTAAAGTGCCTCAATAGCTATAAGTGCTTACTTTTGTGAAATCACTTATAAAAAGTTCATCTTAATATAATAAACTCATTATTTTCACATAAGTATATTTAGCTTTCAAGTTTTTAATTAATTTAACCAAAAAAATCTTTTAAATTTTTATTAGGTTAGGTTTGAAACGTTTACATGCTAATGAATTAACTAAAAGAAAATTTTGAATGTTAACATTATAAAACTATATTCAACTTATTTTTACAATACAAATTTTATTAAAAGGAGAAATTTAACTATAACACATTTTTTATTAGTGTAGACTTTTTCAAATCTAAACTAATTGAATTTAAAGAATGCTATTTTTTGTCATATTGATCAAAAACTTAAGTGCTAAAGTTACAAAATACTGAAAATAGATAAAACATAGAATCTTGTCATTTGGTTGTTATGTCATGTTTAACTTATCTTCACAGTATAAGGCACAATTAGCTTTAAGTTTTTAATTAGTTTGACAATAAGTTTTTTCATTTTTTAAATTCTATTACATTAGATTTGCAACAGTTTTAGACTAATAAATTAATAAAAATAAAAATTTGAGTGCCAAAATTACAAAATTATAAAAATAGACTGAACATGTAATCTACTCTTTTGATCATCATCAGTGCTATTTGACTTATTTTTACATTACATATAAGGTTCATTTAGCTCTTAAGTTTTTAATTAATTTGATTTTTTTTTTTTCATTTAGGTTTGAAATAATTTTAGACTAATGAATTAATTAAAAGAAAAACTTGAGTGCTAAAATTGCAAGACTGAGAATTTTGACAGAACATGAAATTTTGTCTTTTTTTCATTTAGGTTTGAAACAGTTTTAGACTAATGAATTAATTAAAAGAAAATGTCAAGAAATCGATAGTAGTATAAATGTTCTCTTATTTCATACGTTTGGAGGTAATACCCTCTTATATAACTTTATCATTTACCCTAGCTATAATACATCTTTGAAGTAATGGACCTACGGTCCGTAAGGGCCTAATACCCTCCCCCCCTCCTCAAGGTGGAGTGTGGTAATTGCAAACACCCAAATTGATAAGAAATGCTTCGAACTCACGACGACCCAATGCCTTTGTCATAATATTCGTAAGTTGTGATGTCGTTGAAACATGTTTGGTAACCACTGTCCCGCGAATGATCTCATCTCATATGAAATGTCAATCCATGCCAACGTGTTTTGTTCGAGCGTGGAAGACAGGGTTCTTTGCCAGACCAATTGCCGAGAGGCTGTCAGAGTGC